AGATTAACCCCGTGATGGGAACTTTCCTTTGGGGGGGGGGGGGAGGTTCACGATGTTGAAATTCAAATAGACATATTAGTGTTTTGTAATAATCTCTAGAGACATTGCTTGTTGACATTGTGGTTTGAAATTGCGCTGTTGGAGGCTAACTAAAGGAAAATATCTCTAGATTAATATTTGTCCCTGCTTTCCAAAGGCAATTGATTCCCGGGACTCTGTGGCCATGGCATTGTATTCCCAGTGTTTTTCTTGGATCATCGCCAGAATTAACCAGAAAATCAAAGGAAAAGACAACTTCAAGTCCATTGGCATTTTGGATATCTTTGGCTTTGAAAACTTCGAGGTGAGAGTTTGTTGAGTACAAAGAGGTGAAACGTTCCAGCCAGAATGTCTGTTGATGGCATGTTGTCATGCTTTTATGATTTTTCCCCCTACAGGTGAACCGGTTCGAGCAGTTCAACATTAACTATGCCAACGAGAAGCTCCAGGAGTACTTCAACAAGCACATCTTCTCCCTGGAGCAGCTTGAATATAACAGGTGAGTACTGTCAGTGATCCTGGTTAGCACTAAAGCCCTGCTCCTGGAAGAGATCTGTCAACAAAAAGAGCTTTATTTCTCTGATTTTGACCTAATTTAGCACTCAAAGTAACTTAGATTGTCCTACACTGTCTTTGATTCTCCATATTGCCATAGGTAATAGGTTTATGCATGATCATAAGACCAAACCATATACTCAAAAGTAGACTGGTCTTATGGCATAGTAAAAGGTCTATCAGATGCACACTTCGACGGTTGTCTTAAGTCATCAGGGTACTTCTTGCTGTCGCAGACTGTAGGCCTATAGTTTGGAAGTTGGGCACAGTGTGTATTTTCCTACGTTACTGTGTGGATAACAGACTTTTGTACTCAAGAGAAGCAATATTTCAGTTACTTTATTTATATAATGTGCTATTATTAAGATAGCTATAAAAATGTTAACTTTAACTAGCTATTTATTTTAAACTGTTGCTCTACCATGATAGTAGTTCACTGGAAGTGACTGTAGACAATTTAAAATATGACAATTTATGCTTATGTCATGTTATAGCAAGAAAGTCAATTGTTGAAGAGAGAACTTTATGCTAATGTTTACGCTAATGCTCTTCAGACATTTTTTGTAACATTCAAACACACAAACTAGGAGTTTGCATAGCTAGGAGTTTTTCTGTCATATACTTGCACAGAATGTATTTCAGCTAGTGAATGTTTATGAACAAGATAGTTATAGCCAGTGTTGGGGAGTAACCAGTAACGGATTATGTAATTGAATCACAGTATAAATGTAACTGTAATCTGTAATTAATTTACAGTTACTTATGAAAATGTTAATGATTACAAAGGGGATTACATCTGAATATTTTCACACACATACATTAACCCTGCCTGATTTAATTGTTTGAAAATGCTTAGCATTTGAAGTAACCAAAAAGTAATCAGTTACATTATTTTAATAAAATAATTGAAGTTGTTACACTACTTATTACATTTTAAATAGGGTAACTTGTAATCTGTAACCAATTACATTTCTAAAGTAACCTTCCCAACACTGGTTATAGCTAATAACCAGGGGCTGACTTAGTGATTTTGGGGCCCTAAGCAAATTCCAGGTATGGGGCCCCAACACAATAACTGCTCTTTTACGCCTAACCCTTATTTTGCTCGCTAACTCTAGTTTATAGTTTATTTATCCCTTCACAACCAGTAATTAGCCAACCTGATGTTCTAAAGCCATATTAGGCTACCTTTTTTTTATAAAGACATTATCAAAAACAAAAAAATGCTTGCATTTGTCCATTTAATAAATTATAAACTTTTTCAATAATTTTACAAAACATAAAATTAACCCATGCAACTCACTCCATATTCCAAATGTTCTGAAGGCATACGGTAGGGTTTGCCGAGAAACAAATCTAAAATTTAATCTGTTATTAAGCAAAAATCTCCAGTCATTGCATTAGTGCATTTATACGAGTGTGCGGCAGTTCGCGCCGGCATGCCTAGGAAAAGCATAAAAGAGAGTCATTTTGAAACATCAAGACAGATAAAATTATGACTTGAAACACAATACCTTCTTCATTATACAGCCTAGAATGCGCGCAAAGAGCGCCCCCTCATATAATCAAAAGCGGTCACTCACTTCAGTTCATTGTGATCTCACGGCGTTCCGTTAATAAGCCCTCTACACTGCACAATGAATCTCTTATTTACATCGTATCTACTGTACACTTTGTTATAATGAGAGGATTCCCGAGCTTGCAGACCTCAGCACTTGACAAAAACTCGCCATTTTGAGTGGTGAGGGGATTCTAAACACTTCTGGTCATTGCGTTCCAGAAATCAACAGATATGTTTGTGATTGGCTAAATTGCTCAATGCTGCAAATATATTTCGCCAATATCAGATGGGGCCCCCTGATTCCCCGAGGCCCTATAAGCGGCCGCTTACCTCTTTAAATGTTAAGTCCACCCCTGCTAATAACACATTTTGAATACTGAGGACTGTTGCTGACACACAGTAATGCAAGAATAAGTGTATACAACTGGACTGCACAACTGCAATGTGTTGTCCGAGCATTTGTGTGCGTGTGCCTCCCTGCATGCATTATCATCATCATCAGGAGATCAAATCTCTGCGTGAAACCCAAAGCGTATAATACAGGCTCGACTGTAGACACATAGCTTCACACTATCAGGTGTCGCAGAGAGCTCAGGTCACAACGGGGTGAAATAGCATAGAAGGGTGGAGGTGCGACATGATCATGATATACAGGACATGGGTCCTGTGATCTCTTTTAGGGTAGAGTGATGGAGAGATAGCAGATGAATTGAGGGCGGGTTTCTCGGCCTGTTCTTGCTGTAGTGGCTATGGAGGCACTCTGCCAGATGTGTGAATGGGTCTCCTCTTTCCCACACAGTTGTGTTCTTGTGTTGAAATGTGATGGCTGAGGGGGGTCAGCAGAGCCCGGTCACAGCTCATTTCATCACATGAACCCTGAGGATAATACCACCTTTGTGTACTTGTAGTGTTGTGATGTTGCTCAAGAGGTTCTCTTGTGTCTCCACACAGGGAGGGGATACACTGGGAAGCCATCGACTGGATGGACAACGCAGAGTGTTTGGATCTGATCGAAAAGGTGTCCTTTTAACCTTTGTCCTTTAATCAGCTCTCACTGTGACCACACAGTGCTCACTAGAAACCATTCCACTTTTGATAACTATTAGCACATGAGCAGTTTTATAATTTCAGACTATCATCTCCAGTAGTCATTGCATTTTCAGAAAGATTTGCAGTCTTAGTCAATCTTAAAAAAAAAACTGTGAATAAATAGGGTCCATGTCTAGTTTAGCCGTGATGCTCATACAGGTGATGCTGCTGTCTCTTCTCTGCATCATATCCTGCATAAATATCTCTTAAACGTTCTAAAACAGTGAATTTGCATGAACAAAAAAGTATAGAAATGTCTTCTGAATGTTCAACACTGAACTTTTTAGAGATTGCAAATTATTGCATATTATGTTGCAGAAATAATTGCATGTTCCAGCTGAAAAGAAATGTTGCCACTGAGAATAATCAACAACTTGAAGTTAACTATTTTGTATACACAAATGGCTACATGACATTACAAGTAAATATTAGTGTAATTTGAGAGACAGTATTTGACACTAGTAATGAATGATGGCCCCCACTGTTAAAGTGATTATAATTAACATCTCTGATCGATTACAAACTAGACCCCTGTGGTTAATGTGGAGAGCCATAGAGAGCGTGTGCTTAGATCAGTGTGCTCTTTCCACAGAAACTGGGCATGTTGTCTCTTATCAATGAAGAGAGCAGATTCCCTAAAGGCACGGACTACACCCTGCTGGAGAAACTCCACAGCCGGCATGCCGTAAGCCCTTCTTTTCAAAACGCTCACAGACATACAGTATGTGTTTCTTTCCCCCATCTCATTTCATATCACAGAGAGTTAATTCTTCTTTAAACTCGCTGATAAAGACCAATGCCGGGCCAATAGGCAACACCCAGTCACACCCCCACAGCCTCTCACACGCACATGCACAATACGGTAACGTGAGCAGGCTTTCCTCAGGGCGCAGGAACAATGAGTGCGTCCTCGGAGAACCCACATACAGTATGCCCTGACTGAAGTACCTCTGTGTGTGCTCACTTCAAATATAATCAATATGAAAAATAATGTGCTATGTGTTTCTGTCTCTGCAGACAAACCCTTACTACGTGAAACCAAGAGTGGCAGATCACCAGTTTGGTATTAAACATTATGCAGGAGAGGTAATTACATCAACAAGCAGTGTTATTTTAGCATGTTTATAATATTAAATCAGCTTTTATTTTTGTATTTTCAGTTTTAATATTAATTTTATTTAAACTTTTAGTAATTCTATGTGATTATCATTTTTTAAAGGGGTCATATGATGCAATTTCAATTGTTCCTTTCTCTTTGGAGTGTTACAAGCTCTTGGTGCATAAAGAAGATCTGTAAAATCCAAAGAGATATTCTTTATAAAAGTTAAGAGTCAACCACGCCTACCTAAAACGGCTCGATCTAACACTCTACGTCGCTATGTGGGAAGATTTGCATAACGCCGTTCACGCAAAGAAAGAAGGTGTAACTTTTATTCTCGCTGTAATATTGTTGTTGCTGCCGCCGCCATGTCGTAAAGGCACTGTGTTTCATTGTGAAAGCGAAACTACTTTGGTTGGCCTTCCAAAAGAGGACTATATCCGCTTCGTCATGTCTGGAGCTGATCCATGCTGGTCGCTGAGGAAATACATCAACTTCGCGCTGTGGATCGCCGGATCGGCTTTCACCGTGGAGGAAGCGGAGTCACATGTGGTTGCCGCAAGCCCGCCGGACGCTCCTTCGTAGAATCCGCCGGCCACGCCATTCTCAAGCCCGCCCGCCGCTGCTCACTCAAGCCGGCCTCCGCATACTCTAAGCCTCTGCTCACTCAAGGCCACGGTGTGTGACGCTGTTTCGTTGTGAAAGCGAAACTACTTTGTTTGGCCTTCCAAAAGAGGACACGACTAGAAATTAGTGGTTAAGTTGTATTTACAACACTGTTCCAGAACACTTCAACCCAAATATTCAGATGTGTGCAGCACATTTTATGGAGGACTGTTTCCTGATTCTGGTAGAAGTAGACTACAATGCCGGCTGTTCTGACTCACAGACTGTAAGTAAGTTTTTTATATTTAAAGAATTTGCCACTGACGATTCAAACGCGAGTTTGGACCATTTAAAATCATGTAATGAAGGCAAAAAGCTGTTCAAAAAACTTGCTGGGCCTAAGATATACACTTTCCTAAATACATTCATCTAAATTCCAGCTACACTGAAGCAGTTGTTGCTGATCTCCATTTCTTCTGATATATGAATGATGTTTGTGCACGATATTGTCTCTGTTGTGTGTCTCTCAGGCTTGACTTCATCTATGACCTGTTTGAGCGTGTTGGTAGCAGGAATGGAGATGAGACTCTGAAGATGGGCACTGCCCGCCGCAAACCTACCGTCAGCTCTCAGTTCAGGGTGAGACAATCGATGATCTAAATGTGCCATCTGATATTTTTATACAACCATATTTTGAAAGAATCAGAACAAGAAGACTGTGAGACAAGTGCTCTGCCCCAAAACCTAGCCGAGTATTATAAGGCATTATAGACATGCTAAAATACCTTGTTTTCATTAAGTTCAAAGGCAGCATCACGTGATTCACATAAACAGTTACTCCCAGAATATACTGCTCATTGAAAAAATAGATCCGAGAAAGACATATTTCACTTAGTACTGTAAGAAATCTGCAAAACAGTTCAGTGTAATTAGAAATAGATTATTTGTGTCAGCATTTATGTGTTATGTATTTTTATCTGAGTATTGTGTTATTTAGTGTTATTAGCTTAGCAACATGCTAACATCAAACTCTAGAGAGTGTCAACAGTCTGGTTGACCCTTAACCTTTAAAGACAGACCTACTTGTTGCTGATTGGTTTAGTTCATGGCTAATAACTCTTTAACAAAGTCTTTTTAAAAAATGCCAATGGGAAAAAACCCTGAACCAAGGCTGCTGAAAAAGTGGTCGATCACTGATGCACTCTATTCAAATCAGTTGTTAAATCACATGTGTGAAGTCGTTTATTGTAGCCTATGTTGAACGTTTCAAATCAGTCACTTATTGGGTTAAGGATGCTCCCTTAAAAGACAGCTGCCTTTGTAGGTAGTAGTAAGTGAGGCAGCTCAGTAAGTTTCAAAACAGAGCTAAAATGTGTGTTTTCATGTTTAGGCTTAATATTTTGGGTGGACATTACAGATTATGAGTGCAAACCTAGCAGAAATTTTTGTTTATTTTTCTGCACTTGTGCAACTCTGTGTACCTTGCATGTGTGTGTGTGTGTGTGTTTTGTCCTCTTGTCTGTGTTCCTGTATATCTGCCCGTTTGTGGGGTTATGGGGCTTTGCATGTCATAACTGCCGTGCAGGGGATTTGGCAGCTGCCCTTGTACTGTGGCTCTTAAAGCCAGGGGATTACCCACAAACCGGGCACAAGGGTTTGACAGGGTCCATGCATGTTCCCCTGTTCCCCTGTCATTAAAGCCGACCTGGAGCCTCTCAGTCTGAGACTGTGGGACAGAGTGCCAGGTTGAAGGGTCCTTGATGTGACTGGGTAAATACTAGCCCTTTCACTGCCTGTGTTTGCCCTCCTCAACTGGAGATGTGGGACGGACAAGCAAATAGCAGCTGTGGTTGCTGAACGGCAGTTTTGGTGCTGTTACTTTCCTGTGCAGGGGTGTAATTTAGTGTTATTGTGACTGTGTGTTTCAGGACTCTCTTCATGCACTGATGGCCACTTTAAGTGCCTCCAACCCTTTCTTTGTGCGCTGCATCAAACCTAACATGGAGAAGGTAGGATTGACACTTTTTGTACTGGCCATATCACACTCATACCATATTACTTTCCTTTTTGAGTCAAACAGACATTAAAATCAGTCTTCTAAAACATCCTTTTCAAATGAATAGCTCAACCCAGAATGAAAGTCCATCATTGTTTATTCACCCTCAGATTGTTTCAAACATGTTTACTTCGTTTCTTCTGTCAAACACAAAAGAAGAAAATTCGAATGAATGTTCATGCTGCTCTTTTCCATATATTACAACAATCAAAGAGCAACTTAAAGGAATAGTTCACCCAAAAATAAAAGTTTGCTGAACATTTCCTCACCCTCAGGCCATCCAAAATCTATGAGTTTGTTTCTCCATTGGAACAGATTTGGAGAAATTTAGCATCACGTCACTTGCTCATCAATGGATTCCCTGCAGTGAATGTGTGCTGTCAGAATGACAGTCCAAACAGCTGATAAAAACATGACAATAATCCACAAGTGAAGTTAAAAACAGCTTGTTCATAATAAACAAACTGACCAACAGAAAGCTGATTCATTGCTTGTTAATGACAATAGACCAATAGTGACCGCATATTTACAGTAGCTTTATTGGTGGAACAGACCCAAATTTGAGCAATTCACCAATAACCTTCCCCTTCACTGTAGCTCCAGAATCATATTCAAGCATTTGCATAGTCAACCCGGCACATCAAGATGTGTTCCGCAATGTTTGGCGTCAGTAAAATCAAGCAGCACTGGTTCTTGCTTGTCTCGTAACCAAATATTGATGCACCAGATTTGAATTAGCAGAAATGCAAATGAGATTTGAGAGATTGTCAGTGATGACTTTGTTTTAGCTCGGCTTTCTCTGGTCACTATATGCTTTCATTTCATTGAACATAATTTGCAATTTCTTCTTTTTTTTGTTGTTTTTTCTTGTTAAATGAATTATAAAAATCCAAATGGGTTTTTGGTATGAGGGTGAATAAATGGGAATTTAGATTTTTAAGTGAACTATTCAGCTTTTTAAACTTTTATGCAAAACATAAACAAACCTGCAAACAAACAAACAAACAAATAAATATGTTTTTTTTTTAAGTCTTATTTTCTAGTTAAAATTTCTAAAATGTTTTGATACAACATACATTTTCTTTAAGCAACACTGCATAAGATATTAAGACTTGTTTTAAAAGAATGTGTCTTTAATATGAGTATATTTTGTCTTATACTCCTCTGGCAAATTGTTTAACTGGTTTTCAGTATATAATGTTGCTTCTGATTTATGTTATGATCCAATATTTTTATTAGTTACATGCACAGTTACTGTATATGCAGAATACAATTTCCAGTGAAATGTAAATCTGGTCAGCTACTTAAACTGTGCATTAAATATCTAAATGATGGATAAAAAATGGTAAGATAAGACAAACGTAAGAAATTATAATGGATTAACTTCAAGTTTTTGAATAATTAATTAATTTACCATGATTTGAAAATAGTTTTTTTTTTCTGCTGGAAAACATGTCAAAAAAGACTGATTAAGAAATGATTAGTATCAGTGCAGTGGCCTCTGCTTATGTTAAAGTGAAAATTCACAGGACAGTCTGGCATCATCACATTGTGAGAAGCTGTACAGCCAGCAGCCTGTCATGTTCTGCACTCTGTACATAGAGTCTCTTTGTGCTGATCTGCTCAGATTTGAGTGGCCCATCCCCACCGCCAGCACATTCCTGCAGCCCAAACCCGCCTGTGCTGGGGTCAGAGGTCACGGCTGTCCGCTTCAGCGGCACTGAGAGGAGTAGCACACTCCTGACCTGCAGCAGAGGAATGTAGAGATAACAGCCAGAAAATCACACAGAGCCTCTACCCTTTATTATGTGACACAATCGAGCTGTAATAAATGCTCATTTGAGCTCACATATTACTGGAATTGATTCATAGAGGACTCTCGTTTCAGTGGGCAGAGGATCAGGTTGGCGCTTCTGATGGGGTTGTTGTATTGTGATAACTGTCCTCAGGGAGGGGAATCACGGCTGTGGCCTTGTCTGGCGCCTGGCCTCCTCTGTCATTCCACACCTTTTCTTCTATCATTTATGCCACACAACACATCCCACCTCACTTCGGGGCCCCTTTAAAAACAATTGAGATACAGCATACTTCATGCCTGACCCAGGTTTACTGCCCAAATTACACAGGCAGACCAGAAATACACCTCAGTCTCTTGTCACATTAGCCTGACATGATCATTTCAGTTCAGATTGAAATGAAGGACATGGCAAAAGGCAATAGTGGAACATGCTGTTAAGACACACCAGATGGCCAGGCCACCAACAATGAGTCCCGCTCTTTAACATAGCAATCAAACGGCCTGATGAGACAGGACAGTGTGGGAGCAGCTGAACACCAGGCACTGACGTTACTGATCCAGCTACAGATCACCACTAAACATGACGCAACACCTCACACAATAGACATAATCAATCCCATTTTGACGTTGGTGTTTGACCCCTTTTTCTGCCCACAGACAACTTTTGTTCTTTATGTGACAGATCAAAACAAGTATATCTGTTATCTCATGCTTGGGTTATGGTTAAAGTCAGAATGAAATCAAAATAAATCCTATAAAAATTCCTGGTCTCAATGAAAAAGATTCATCCGGTCTTTGTTATCCAAAAGATAAAATACTTGTCTTCGTAATCTTTTATCAACAACTGTGAAACATTACCAAGCCCTCTTATTTTTCAGATCCTTCCCTTTATCATAAACTGCAAAAATAATTTTCTTCAGGGTTTTATATCAGTATTTTTGCCTTTTTTAAAAATATCTATTCGACTAAATTAAGTTACTAAGATTTATTATCAGAGAATGCATTTTGGTTTATGTATCATACCCCACTGGCATTTTTTGTCCTTTTTTATTATTTAACAATGAAATTGAGACACTACTACATAGTGACCAACAATATGGATAACAGTATACAATTTTTGGTAACACTTTACTTAAAGCCTTTATGTATTTGTAATGCATTAATTATGCCTTGTAATGCACCTTATAATGCATTGTACAGTTTCATGAATAATTGTAACCGCAGTAAATACGTTATAACACTTATCAATTCATTGTTACACTATGTATTTTAAATTTGGTTATAATTATTTACAACAAGATATAATGTATTACAACGCACATTATGAATAATTATAATGCTTTATACCCTTTAAATAACCCTTTATAATGCATTATACATAACGGCATTAAGTAAAGTGTTCCCCAATTTTCACTTAAGCATAAACCTCACAAAATTCATTATCATCATCTTAAAAAAATGTATAATGAGGAAAGAGCGATAAGTAGAATAAATAGAAAAACTTGCATCAGATTACAGAAATCAGATGTGTTATTATGAACACTATTTCATGTTAACTTGGAGTAGTGTAATAGGACCACTGTTGAATACTGAGTTTTGGTCCATTCAGTTTCAAGTAATATTGGGCTTAGCTGGTTGATACCAGTGCTGATGGACATGTCCTTCTATCTTCTTCCAGAACGCAAATAAATTTGATGCAGATGTGGTTCTGAATCAGCTACGTTACTCTGGAATGCTGGAGACAGTGAAGATCCGTAGAGCAGGCTTTCCTGTACGGAGAACCTTCCAAGACTTCCTCAGCAGGTGAGATACATCGCCAAGAAACCAAGAAACCACTGACAGTCCATCAAAATACAGTTAGAAACACAAAATCTGTTCCAGATGCACATATTTGATCTCTGACAGTTTTTGGAAAGGTAATGTGAAGTTAATGTTCTTGAAATCATACTGAACAATACCAGGGAAGTATTGTTCTCTTACAGGTGGAATGCATGTATGTGTGTTCAAGCTGTGCCCACTTCCTGTGCAGATACACAATGATCCTGAGGGACAAAAACCATACGGTGGACGAGAGGATGAAATGTGCAGATCTGCTTACGAAGTATGACGTCACAAAAAAAGAGTGGCAGCTGGGAAAGACTAAGGTGCGGTTGCATGACCAACACATATTAACACACATAGTTTATAGTTCCAGTATAAATAATCAGTGCTAGACCTCAGTGCAAGAGTGCAAAGACTTTGTATAAACGCTCTTCTTCTCTCAGATTGAACTACTTGACCTTTATGTAGTCATCCCTGACATTCGTACTTTACATTGTTCAAACAATCGTTTGAATTTATATCTGAAATGCAAAAAGGAAGAAAAAAGATACAGACAGGCTCTTAGGGGTTTTTCACACTTTTTTACCGAAGTCTTATGTAATCCAGATTTTTTTTAAATTATTTAGATATTCTTACAGTTCATAACATGTTGATTACAGTGTTCAACTATCATGGCATTTTACAGCAAGAAGAGTCTGTGAACCCTTTGAAAATTTCCAGATTTCTGCATTGCTAACTCATAATATGTGGTCTGATCTTAATTAAAGTCAGTTATAGACAACCCAGCCCTAGCGAGAGTGGAAACAGTCCAGAATTTTCTACATTTGTAGAATCCTTCCATGGATGGATGAACATCCAAGTCTTCAGCAATGTTTGTGTTGCTTTTTTCAGCTTTGTGCATCTCTGTTATGCTTCATTATGGTCCTGTGAAAGCTTTTGTGGTATGGTTCACACTAACCAGTCATTCTTGAGAAGAATATATTTAGTAGAAGCCATGCTTTGTGTACCTTTTATTTTAAGAGCAGGGCACCAGTGCGACCCACATTTCCGATCTCATTTCCTTAATTGATTCCAATTAGTCATTGGCTTATTTTTTCCACACTGCCCTGCCCTGTGAATAATCACCCAGTGTTTGTGTTACTAGTGCTTGTCTGTAATTGTGACTTAGCTGAAGAACAGAACACATTTAATAAGTAATTAATGCAGAAGTCCAGATATTTTCAAAGGGTTCACAAACTTATTCTTGCCACTATGGTACTCTGTAGGACTTCATGTAGTCAACACACAGCTGATACCTCGATGTTGGCATCATGGAAGTGACAAAAAATTATGGTGCCATTTTCATGGTAATGTTTTGCAACACTTTTGGTCTTTCATAGGGGATTTTTCCTTGTGTTGTCTTGTGATGTTTTTTCTGTCTCTCCTCTTTACATTCTTTCCCTTTTCTTACTCATACTTCCTCTGCTCTCCCCCCTCAAAAAAACCCCTCTCCACATCTTGGTAAGGAGTTTTGCGGTCCCTCACTTTACTGAAATGACTCATTCCGATCTAGCCGGACTGAAACAAGAGTGCAGCACTTTAAGGACGTTTGGCAACAGGAGCACAGCAGCTCTGAAAAGAATACTTTCTGTTCTCTGTTCAACAGTGTCTATTCATTCTTATCTTGTAATCAGTCAATTATTCACTCTCCTTGGTCCGTCTCTGCCACACATTAAGCATGGCGGTCCATTCGGGCTGTTTTTACAGTAAATCTGAGGCTCTGAGGTTTCTGAGGTACAGGAAGGCACTGTAAATAAAAGGCATTCTTGCGTGCTTCGATTCAGACCACTTTTCTTTAAATTAATTGAATCCAGTGTGCTCTGTGTTATTTCCTTTGGGGTCTTGTGGTTTCTGGCTTTCCTGAGAGCTTGTATGGATATCTCTTTATCTGGGGTCGCATTGTTAGCTTGATGGGGCCTTAATGCGGTGTTGCTGTGATTACTTGTGTTTAGGTTTGGTTTTATTTGGAGCAGAGAAATTATCTCATAAATCAAATAACTTGAGATGGAAACAGTGATGACCTGTCAGTGCTCCTTTCGGTCATGAGATGCCGTGTGGGTTATTATGAAGAAAAGCCAATTCAAACCAAACAATTAGATGACTTCTGTACGGAGCTCTGAGGTTTCTGAGGTACAGGAAGGCACTGTAAATAAAAGGCATTCTTGCGTGCTTCGATTCAGACCACTTTTCTTTAAATTAATTGAATCCAGTGTGCTCTGTGTTATTTCCTTTGGGGTCTTGTGGTTTCTGGCTTTCCTGAGAGCTTGTATGGATATCTCTTTATCTGGGGTCGCATTGTTAGCTTGATGGGGCCTTAATGCGGTGTTGCTGTGATTACTTGTGTTTAGGTTTGGTTTTATTTGGAGCAGAGAAATTATCTCATAAATCAAATAACTTGAGATGGAAACAGTGATGACCTGTCAGTGCTCCTTTCGGTCATGAGATGCCGTGTGGGTTATTATGAAGAAAAGCCAATTCAAACCAAACAATTAGATGACTTCTGTACACAGTTAGGCTGTACTACGTAAGGAGCATTATGGCTAAATAAACCCAGACATGGTCGTCAGGATCACTATACGCAAAGTGGAGTGCATGGCATGAATAAATAGTAAATAATAAGTATAAGTATTGAGTATTGAATTTAAATTGATTTTATTACAAAACAATCAGGTTATCTATAAATTTATTTATAATTTAAGGTATTAAAATTGATCAAACGTAACAGTAATGACATTTATAATGTTCCAAAAGATTTCAATTTCAAATCAACGCTATTCTTGTGAACTTTCTATCTATCTGTCTATCTATCTATCTATCTATCTATCTATCTATCTATCTATCTATCTATCTATCTATCTATCTATCTATCTATCTATCTATCTATCTATCTATCTATCTATCTATCTAAGAGTCCTGAAAAACATGATAATAATGATGATAATAAGAAGAAATTGAGCAGCAAATCAGCAAATCAGCATATTCTGGCTTTCCTGAGAGCTTGTATGGATATCTCTTTATCTGGGGTCGCATTGTTAGCTTGATGGGGCCTTAATGCGGTGTTGCTGTGATTACTTGTGTTTAGGTTTGATTTTATTTGGAGCAGAGAAATTATCTCATAAATCAAATAACTTGAGATGGAAACAGTGATGACCTGTCAGTGCTCCTTTCGGTCATGAGATGCCGTGTGGGTTATTATGAAGAAAAGCCAATTCAAACCAAACAATTAGATGACTTCTGTACACAGTTAGGCTGTACTACGTAAGGAGCATTATGGCTAAATAAACCCAGACATGGTCGTCAGGATCACTATACGCAAAGTGGAGTGCATGGCATGAATAAATAGTAAATAATAAGTATAAGTATTGAGTATTGAATTTAAATTGATTTTATTACAAAACAATCAGGTTATCTATAAATTTATTTATAATTTAAGGTATTAAAATTGATCAAACGTAACAGTAATGACATTTATAATGTTCCAAAAGATTTCAATTTCAAATCAACGCTATTCTTGTGAACTTTCTATCTATCTATCTATCTATCTATCTATCTATCTATCTATCTATCTATCTATCTATCTATCTATCTATCTATCTATCTATCTATCTATCTATCTATCTATCTATCTATCTAAGAGTCCTGAAAAACATGATAATAATGATGATAATAAGAAGAAATTGAGCAGCAAATCAGCATATTAGTCTTTTTAACAGTTAAATCAATTTTACTGACCCCAAACATTTGAATGCTTGTGTATATTTAGGTGAAGAGTATTTTGCATTGCATGGCACATACCATCTGAGATTGTTTTCAAGGCATAGCAATGTCTATGATAATTCAATGATATGGCATACATATATAGTAGTGTAATTGTAATTGATTATATTTAATAGTCATACATCTTTGTGAACTGGTGCTAAAACAAATGTACCATAAAATTAAATATCACAGTTATAATATCACCTTTAAAAACAATTTCAGACAGTATGTGCCATGAAATGCACAAACTGCAGTAATGATGCTGAAAATTCAGCTTTGCCATCACGGAAATAAATTACATTTTGAGAGATAGGTAAAGGACAACAGTTTTGTAATATTATTTCACAATATAACTGTTTTTACTGTATTTTTTGTCAAACAAATGTGGCTTTGGTGTGTCTTTTTAACAGTTAAATCAATTTTACTGACCCCAAACATTTGAATGCTTGTGTATATTCAGGTGAAGAGTATTTTGCATTGCATGGCACATACCATCTGAGATTGTTTTCAAGGCATAGCAATGTCTATGATAATTCAATGATATGGCATACATATATAGTAGTGTAATTGTAATTGATTATATTTAATAGTCATACATCTTTGTGAACTGGTGCTAAAACAAATGTACCATAAAATTAAATATCACAGTTATAATATCACCTTTAAAAACAATTTCAGACAGTATGTGCCATGAAATGCACAATTGATCTGAATTCATCATGGCCTCAATAGACGACTGAACATAATGCAATATTTCTCCTTTTCCTAGAATGTTGCTTTCTGTCTCCCACACACACATGCATAAAGACAGTGAAACAAATGAATTCAGATACACACACTGGACACGGAGTCTCGCTCCCTGCTGAATAGAGTCATGCTTTACAAATTGTTTAGCTGTAAAATAGCCTCATTGTTCTGAGTGGTGGGGTCAGAGCTGGATGGCTCCAATTTGTACTCAGCACATCAGAGCTCCAATGTGCTGAAGGTCAGCTACTCTAACCTACAGCTTTCACTGCTCCACCAGGCTCCATGATCATACTTGTTAAATAGCCTGTTGCCCTTAATGGACCCACAGAAAGCTGGTGTCTTCATGACAGAATCTGGGCTAATGGACCGTGCATTGATCTTTTCCCAAAATGCATGTCTCTCACAGTTCACCCAACACAGTACTTCAATAAAACATTACATGCATTTGTTCCCCACAGTTACCAGTTAATTATGTTTATCCCTTTCTGAAAAGACCAGTGTAATTGGCTCCCAGCATATGTTGTGTTTTGGATGCTGTATTTCTGGTGTCCACACAGGATATCTTACCTAGTTTAGTGTCAACATGAATCACCGTTTTGCTTTCACAGAAACAAACTATTCAGCGAGAAAAAAAATGTAGGTCATGAACTGGTTTGTATCTATTGGGAATTAACTTGATATTGAAATGTAGATATTTACAAAATATAGCCTAATCTATGGGAGTTTGCCTAAATATCTATTTGGTGATTGGTTAACATCAACGGAGATGCAGAGCCAGTTATTACATTTTGAACAAAGAATATGGGAACAAACATTCCCTCTTAGGAATAATGTGTGCCACTTATTTGTTTACAGTAAGAACAGAACATGTCTAGCAATGCTTCTCAACTTTTTGGACTCCAAGGTCCCCCTTTGTCCAAGACATTCGAAGGCCCTGCTATCTAAGCTGATATGTACTTCCATTAAAATTAAAATAAACTCAAAAAAATTAATTCAAATAACTTCTGTCATCATTTACTCAACCTCAAATTGTTCCAAACCTGTATGAGTTTCTTTCTTTCGCTGAGCACAAAAGAAGATATTTTGTATTTGCTAAATACTATGTATGTCAATGGCTACCATCAACTGTTTGGTTACCAACATTCTTTAAAATATTATCCCTGTAAGTTTTTGCGGAAGAAAAGCATGGCTAAGCTAGTTCACTAGTAAGTCCTGCAATAAACCAGCTTAAACCAGCATGGGCCAAGATTGGTAGACACATAAAAGATATGGCACTTATTTTGTATTTAATAAAAACACCCATCTTTAAGAACCATCTTGTGTTCTGTTGGGAATAGGTGGTTGTGTCCTTGTCTTTTTCAGTCTGGAATCTATTGAAGTCAGGATTCTGGACTAATGTCGTTATAGGGCCACATGAAGCGTTATTAGAAGTAGACATCAGACAGTGCTGTATGGAGTTTGTTTGATCAGTGTTTACACATATGTTCCACACATGTTTCATGTTTCTATATAAATACAGTCTCTTGTGTAAAACAGTTGAATGTATTCCAGCAAGTCTAGGTTGGGAGTCAAAGCTCCAGCCAGTGACCTATGACTGCATCCGTCATTGCTGTATGTGTTCAGTGGTCCGTTATAGTTGTTATCATGACTTGAGGTCTGTTTTCTTTTATGATTTCATTCAGGAGTGTGTGATTGTGATCAGCGGAGAATGTGTGTTCACTACTGGTCCTCTTAAGCAGTGGCGGTGGCGCTGGCTTTTGTTCGTGGTGTTTTTGTGAGTGTCAGATTTGAGGTGGAGGTTAGGGGAGGGGCTTCAGATCAAGAAAGGGGTCTGAGATTGTGTTTCCTTGCTCAAAACAAAACAACCTGTGTGTAATTATATACATGCTGATTGTGTGTTGAGGAAGTGTGATCCCTAGATTGGGGCTCAGGGTTTTTGCGTGGGATGGGGGAAGGATGTGGACGAGGAAACTTCCTCATGTGTGTGTGTCTGCAGCTGTGCAATGTTGATTACAGGAACATCTGGGTCGTCGGTTTCAGGAAATCTCACAATGAACTTAAGATATCTGTGGGAGGCCAGACATGTGTGCATGGGTTGATATTAATTGAAAGGACCTGATTCTGGTAATGCCACCAGAAAGTACATTATAGTACATAATGTATTTTGGATGCTGCTTTGCTGGTGTTCCCATTAGTCTTCTTTTTAGCTTAACCAGTATAAACCAGCTCAAGCATGAAGACCATGCTAGGTGACCAGCAACATCTCAGCTCAAGTTTTAGTGGTTTTGATGGTCAAGTCATGTTGGTATAATTTCAGTTTCCACAAAAATACTAAGCATGACAATTTTTTTTAAACTTTGATAATAAATGTTTCTTGAGAAGCAAATTAGCATAGAATGATTTCTGAAGGATCGTGTGACATTGTAGAATGCAGTAGCATAATGATGCTAATTCAGCCTTGCATCATAGAATTAAATTACATTTTAAAATGTATTCCAATAGAAAACTGTAAGCATATTTCACGATATTAATGTTTTACTGTATTTAAAATATTTAAGACTTATTTAAAACAAACAAAAAAATAGTACCAACCCCAAACTTTTGAACGCTATTGTATGTATAAAGTCAATTCGCCTCAACATCACACTGGTGGTTAGACACTTTACTTTTATCCCATGAGGTCATGGGAAAGAAGTCATCACATTCATAAATGGCGGTGAACAGAGACTGTAGGTCATATGGAGGATATATTTTGTCCAAGTTATATTCATAATACATACATGCACACTAATTGAGAAGATTTCCTGAAATACAGTGCATACTATGACAGTACATACATTTAGAAGTAGTTGTTGTAGTTTTATATCTAACCATCAAGCTTATTTTTGTGAAAAGGTTTGTGAAAATCAACTTGGGCATCACTACTCAGGATAATTTTATTTTACCTTTGTTGCTCTTTCTGTCTTATGACTTCACACCTTCTCTGCTTCTTCAGCTGTACAAGTGCTGAGTTCTCCTATTGTCTCTGTTGGATAAGGATAATAAAAAAGTGTGTTTTATTGTCAAATTTTTGCTCTTCAGATTACCTGATAGACGATGCTGCTAGCATATCTATAGAGGCGGCAGCCAATGAGTGTGAGGATTCTCTTCGGCGGTCAGTGAAAAACAGCGGGCCACGCCATTTCAACTTTAGTGAAATACACTGAGAGGGGTGAACCGCACGATATAAAAATTGAACTATGTTGAGTACAGTCTTCGTTTCATATGAGTGAAACCATTGTAGTAAAATGGGACCTTAAAGGGACAGTTCACGCTAAAAATTAAAATTCTTTCTTCTGTTGAACACAAAAGAAGATGGTGGCTACCATCAACTGTTTGGTTACTCTCATTCTTTAAAATCATCTTTTGTGTTTAGCAGAAGAAAGAAACTCGTATAGGTTTGGAACAACATTCGGGTGAGTAAATGATGACAGAAATTTTGAACAAACTATCCCTTAATGTATACAACTTTTTTCAATTATTGTCAAACTACTCAATGTTCAGTACTGTTTAGTATATATGTTCATTTACGTTTAGAGTTCATTATGAAGGAATGTATGCAGATCATCTCTTTAATTCACCAGTGTTTCAGAGTTTTCTCTTCTATGAGTCAGCGTCAGTGAGTAAAGGGTTAAGCCTTCATGTCTTCTGTCTCTGAGACAGAGAGAGAGTGAGGGTGTGGCCTACACTTTGGCCGAGAGCCACTCTTTCCCCCTCCTCTCTCTCTCTCTCTCTCTCTCTGTCTGTGCACTTCAGTCTGTCTGGAATAGCAGCAGTAACAGGAAATCAGAGCACTGTGGTTTCAGCACAATGGCAGAGCTCCACAGCTCAGCTCCCTGTAGCCTGTAGCCTGCTGAGCACACTGGAGACGTGCTCTTCACATCGCCCGGAGAGAGTTACCCATCAGTTTACCTAAACCTACTCTCTTCCCTCACCCTCTCCTTGTCTTTCTTCTTTGGTGCCTTGCAGGTGTTCCTGAAGGAAGCTTTGGAACAGAGGCTGGAGAAGGAAAGAGAGGAGGTGCGCACAGCGGCTGGTATGGTGATCCGGGCCCACATACTAAGTTATGTGGCAAGGTTAGTGCAGCTTTGTGTGTGTTTGTGTATAAACACGTTCTGTTGAATGGGGTCGGGTGAGTTACCAAAGGCTGTCATTGTGACTTGAGTTACTTGATTGCTATAATCGAATATGTGAATGAGATGGAAGTTTGCATCGCAGAATGACTTACCAGGGCTGCGTGAAGCAGAGAATTGAGAGCAATGCAAAGTGGATTAAATTCATTATGAATGTGCAGGGGAACAAATGAGGGAGAAACCATGAAAAGTCATCAAGAGTCTTTTCACTGCTAATACTGGCTGAATTTATTTACATGCTGTTTTTTTAATAAATCAGGTCTTTTGCCAGTTTTGAGGGATCTTGGCATAATCAGGGGTTTTATGTTGGTTTACATGCAACTTTGTGTTTCAGAAGTGATTTTTTTAAAACTAGCAACCCTGCTAGATGAAAATTGCTTAAACCATGCTGGTTTAGTTTTAGTTTTGCTGTTTTGTTTTTTACTTTTGTCAACTAATCAGTCTGTGAAAACATCTGGCTGACAAACTAAAGACCATCTGGGAAAGGCTTGGAGACCAGCTTAAACTAGCTAAGACCAGCAAACCAGTTTAAGATGTTTTCAGCAGGTTGCTTTGATGCCATGGTAAATCAGAAATGACAAACGTCAAAATATCAGCATCTGTTTTGTGAGAAGGGTCTGCTGAGACACTATTTTGGTTCCTGGGTGTTTAGTATTCATTTGCACCTCTGTACTGTCGTTGTTTATGGGATTGCTGAAGTGTCTGTTTTGCCTTCTTTTAGTATAAAGGTCAACATCCACAAATTCACATACATACAGACTTTCAGTCCAGCATTACAGGTCAGATCTGAGATTTTCTGATTTAGGTGGCCTGGTCTAAATGTATGAGAACTGTGGCACAGCTGCTCACACAGATCAAATGCCTTTTATAATCACAGACACCAACTAGCCAGAGTGTTTTAAATTAATGACCCTATTTCATATTTGTCATAGTGATTGCTTTTTAAATGAGTTACTAATGTGTTAATGACAGAGTTGTTTATTATGTTGAGTAATAGCTGTAATATACTCATAATTACTGTAATATCCCTGTCAACTAATCATTAATGAAGCCTCGAGGGCTTGCTCTCTAATGTTGTAACTCTCCTTCTCACAGAAAAAACTATAAAAAAGTCCGGACCAGCACCATCACTATCCAAAAGAACTACCGCGCTCACTTCTGGAGACAAGCTTTCCTGCGTTTCCGCTCTGCTGCCGTGGTCCTCCAGAAGCACATCCGCGGACAGATCACTCGACAACTCTACCGGCAACTCTTAGAGGAAAAACAGAGGAGAGAAGAGGAGGAGAGAATCAGAAGAGTGGAAGAAGAGAGGAGACGACAAGAGGAGCTCAGGAGACTTGAGGAAGTGAGATTAAGACAAGAGGAAGAAAGAAAGAGGGAGGAGGAGGAGAGACAGAGGCTTCAAGAAGAGGAACAGAGAAGGAAAGAGGAGGAACAGGAGGCTTTACGGATACAGCAGGAAGAGGAAGAGTCGAACAGGAGGCAGGAAGAGCTGAAGAGCAAACAGATACTGGAGGATAGAGAGGCAGGGCACAGCAGGTAAAACGCAATCCGGGCAAATGCTTGAGTTTTAATTTAGGTCATCTAAAATCTGTGTTGGCTGCTGGACTGTGCTTAATCCCTGTCTAAAAGGATTCTCTCCTGTTTTGCCTCATATTAGGAGTCTAGTGGAGAAAAATCATCACAACCACAAGGTATTATTTCTATTTGACATTTGATTTTATATTCCTAAGAAACAGATTTCAAACCTGGAAAGATATATCCTTGTATTATCCTAATTCTCTGTCTTCACAAAAAATCTGTAGTAAAATCACAGTACAATGGTAAATCCAAGGGTAATTTAATTATATTGAGCTATATGGGTCAAAAAGAGCCTCTTGAGAAGCTTAACTAGTTTGTAAGAGTAGTTTAACAAAATTGCTTCACTGCCTATTAATATGTATTTTATTTTATTATTTTATTTTATATTATAAATATTTCTTCTCAATCAAGTTATATGGTCTGACCAACATGCAGAAAGAAAAAAAAAGAAAGAAAAAAAATTGATATCATACAGAGAGCAGCCTCTCAAATATCAGATAAAGTGACCTTTTTAGGATATGGTGAGGTTAGTTCTGGTTGTAAAATGTCATGTGGTGCAACTCCCTAAATCCTTAATAGTATTTATGAATTAATAAATTAATAAAATTTACGTTTTAGCTTGAAAACGTTTTAACTTGAAAAATATGTTTTAAAAACATTTTGGAGATAATAAAGATGTCTACACTAACATATTCAAAATATACGGAAAATATTTTATTTCTTTTTACATGATAGTCATACAGCACAACATTTTTAGAGTCTTTAAACTTTTCTTGAAATGGTATTTTTTTAAACTGATTTTTTTTTACATTTCTTATAGTTTATCATGAACACACAATATATCATTAACTCATATACGTGAATGATTACCATATTCATGTAGCATGATGTTTACATAATACCAAAACTGAAAAGAATACCATGGAATAACCATAGTGCATGTTAAAGTATTGTGCTTTTTGATTGAACCTTGACATTTTTTTTGGATTGACAGAATGAACTGTATATATTTGGCATGTCCTCACTATCCCTCCCCTATATTCCAGAAGGACGTGTCCCACAGCCTGTGCCAGTACTCGTCTGAAGAGGAGAGTCGTCAGATGGAGGAGATCCTGCGGCTGGAGCGAGAGATTGAACGGCTGCAGAGACAGAGAGATGAAGGGGTGTCCTTGCTGAACGGCATGATAGTCATACAGCACAAAATTTTTAGAGTCTTTAAACTTTTCTTGAAATGGTATTTTTTTAAACTGATTTTTTTAAAAATTTCTTATAGTTTATCATGAACACACAATATATCATTAACTCATATACGTGAATGATTACCATATTCATGTAGCATGATGTTTACATAATACCAAAACTGAAAAGAATACCATGGAATAACCATAGTGCATGTTAAAGTATTGTGCTTTTTGATTGAACCTTGACATTTTTTTTGGATTGACAGAATGAACTGTATATATTTGGCATGTCCTCACTATCCCTCCCCTATATTCCAGAAGGACGTGTCCCACAGCCTGTGCCAGTACTCGTCTGAAGAGGAGAGTCGTCAGATGGAGGAGATCCTGCGGCTGGAGCGAGAGATTGAACGGCTGCAGAGACAGAGAGATGAAGGGGTGTCCTTGCTGAACGGCAGCTCCAGAGACGAGCTGCAGCAGAAGAGGGACGCCGAGATCTACCGCCTGGAGAAAGAGGCTTCACGTGTGGCCACTGAGTTCCTGGACATGCTGGACTTCGGAGGTTTGGAGCAGTCGCTCTCCAGCGAGGAGAACCTTCATGACCCGTCAGAGACCACTGCACCTCTGGCTGAGGAAGAGGTAGATGAAGGCTTCCACGCGGATGACGAGTGTATCCCACTTTGTGACTTCCCTCTCCCAGCTGCCGTGCCCATGGACAAAGAGATTCTCTCCAGTCTTCCGCCTCCACCGCCCGCCTTTGCTGAAAGTCTGGTGGCCACGTCCTCACCTGCACGGATGGAGCGACCGAAATCCAATTCCTCCATCAAACAAAACAGACTCTCAGACATTCCCCCTCCTCCAACTACAGCTCCACCCCCTCCTCCAGCTGCACTGCCGTCAACCACAGGAGATTATAGAGTGGTGTATAAAAACGCCAGGAAGACGATAACAGAGATTGTACTGCCAGTGGAGGAAACCAGCTTCAGTATTCTGCCCGACACCGAGTCGGACTATGACCAAGAGGAGTTTGAGGAGGCGCTGGGGAGTTGTGGGGATGCAGGAAGTACTAATGACGGACACCTCACTGACGAGGAAGTGCTACATAGATCTTCCTGTACCTACAACAGCACAGACTCCTTTAGAGGAAGTTCAGACTCAGTGAGTTCACTCTTTTCACACTTTGACAGTGCGTTCACACTGAGAGCGACTATATTTCACTACATATCAGTATATTTCAGAACTATATTTTAGAGCTTTTGTGAACAAATACAAAGTTTCAGGTAAATGCAGTAGTTTTGCAATTTTTTGAGGATGCCTACACTGTAAGAAATATGTCTATATTTATGGTGAAAAAAATGGCAGGCTTGGTTGCCAGAAGTGTAATATGTTGGCAGCGTTTCAGGTATTGTGGGATGGCATTATATATTTTATATACAATAGACAAAACACACTTGCATACAACAGGAATTGTAACAAAACATCATAATGTGCATATCCGATAATTTTATATTTCATGAAGTGATTCTACTTGAACTACCAAAATCTGCATTATACCTTGTACCAATAACCGCCATAATATTGCAAGTGGAAACAGAAAACCACATGATGAATCAGAGTTCAAAGTAAGTGGCCTGCCTATAAAACATGACCAATAATTGTATATAGAGAGTGCACAGGGTCACACACACAAAGACAAAACACCATCAGGGTAACTCATAGAACTAAAGTAATTCAACAAACATTAACTAAACAACAGAAAATGTGACACAATTTTCTTAGGTACATTACCAATAAAAAGAAACAAAAAATATAAATATAAAATATAATCCTATGTGAGTTCACACAGGGACTTCTGGGAATGTCCTTTTACTGTTTCTCACCAGAAATTATATGGTATTTATAGTTTTTACTTGGGGAAAATAAAAACTAATTTGACAGTATGTCACAGTAAAATTACATGTTAAACCATTTACGGTTACCCCATATATGGCAAGGTAACTTATAGTTACTTAATTAGATATTCATTTTTCAGTGTATATTTAGCGTAAAAACTGAATCATTGCTCACAGCAGCTGAAATTTTCTTGAAATTTGATGTTGAGTCTATCCACTTTGTTGCAAAACCACTGCTTGGATTGCCATAGCAGCAGTGCTTTAAAGGGCATGATTTTAAATCTCAGCATGTTTTTTTTAAAAAGATTTATTTAGCCATTTTTGACTTTATTATAATATGACAGTGTAGAGGAGACAGGAAGTGAATTGGGGGAGAGAGAAAGAGAGGGGGTGGGATCGGGAAAGGTCCTCGAGCCAGGATTCGAACTCGGGACGCCCATAGTGCAATGGCACGATATGTCAGCATGCTGCCCACAAGGCTATTGGTGCCAACTCAGCATGTTAACAGTTGACCGTCAGCACATCACAACCCTTGTGGATAAATTGCATTTATAAATTCATCTCCTTTACAGCACTGCTGCTCTTAAATATTGACCTTCACTAGTATGGGCAACTAGTTGACCTACAATCCTGTCCGTTGTTGCTTGTAGTGTTTCTACACAATTGTTGTATCAGCTGGTGGATCATGTGAGTTTCACTGTCTGTACGTCCATTAGTAGTCACTAAAGATTTTAGATTTTGAGAAAGTTGAGATCTGCTAATCTTTGTGGCATCTCCAATGGTCACTGTCACTCACATTGCCTTTCATTTAAAATGAGCGACTTCCAGCTGCTTTGTCACTGCAAAGTGTGAACGCCTTGTAAGGCATGAAAGGAATATGCATTTCATCACATTTATACAGTTCAGTGTCAGGGTAGTGAGATCCGGTATTGCCTGAAGCAAAACAAAAACACTCAGCACTTTGTCCTAATTCTTTTAAGACCTTTAAACTTGGCATAATACCATAATGAATGCATTATTGCTTTGGATTTCTTGTAGCTATTCATGTTTTATTTGCTAAAGCAGCATGAGGGGATTAGGTGAATATGATTTGATATATATTGAGTCTTTGTCCTTTGGGGTATTCCCATAATGTGCAGCGATTAGCCAATGCTTGTCACACCTGCTCCAAACACAGTCCTGCAACAGCTTGATTGTTGACTCTTGGAGAATATTTGAACTCAGAAACCTGATTCAGGTTATGTTTGGGTGTAATGTGAAACTTGACATGACAGTTAACAATGGGAGGACATTTACTGATGCCATGCTTTTTTTGTTTGCATTAACTAGTAGGATTAGACAGTGAAATGCAGATGTCCTACCGCAGCAAACACAAAGTGCCCCAGGGTGCACGGTTACAGTGTAAAGAACCATTTTTAGCCAAAACATACATTGGCATTGAAAATTTTGGTGTCTGTAATTTTTTATGTTTTTAAGAGACGTCTCTTATGCTCACCAAGGCTGCATTTATTTGAGCAAAAATACAGTAATAACAGTAGTATTGTGAAATATTATTGCAATTTAAAATAACTGTTTTAATATATTTTTTAATGTAATTTATTCCTGTGATGCAAAGCTGAATTTTCAGCATCATTACTCCAGTCTTACTAATGTTAAAACAGGTTTATTGCTTAATATTTTGTGGAAACCATGATACATTTTTAGGATTCTTTAATGAATAGGACGTTCTAAAGAACAGCATTGGAAATAGAAATATTTTGTAACAATGTAAAGTCTTTACTTTCACTTTTTTAAAAAAAAGTCATAATTTCTTTTGAACAGAGGTATAGTACATTTAAAAGCCTTTTATTGACATTCACACTCCTTTTTTCCCCAAAGTTCATTGACAGCAATGACGAGAATGATGGATATGTGGACACAGACGAGGAGGTGTCCAATGGTAGAGTGCATCTTCTAAACGGAAGTGGACCTCCTTATTTCCACAGCTACCTGTACATGAAGAGTGAGTGTTTCCTACCATTTACTTGCTTATTGTTTAGCTTATGGCTATATCACTGGATCATATTGCTCAAACTGAACGTATCAATGGATAGGATAGATAAATGTTTCATTCCACTGTTTCTTATTTTTCTTTTTTAAGGTGGGCTGATGATCCCGTGGCGCAGGCGCTGGTGTGTTTTGAAAGATGAGACCTTTATGTGGTTCAGGGCAAAGCAGGATTCTCTCAAGTCAGGCTGGCTGTACAAGAAAGGTGGAGGGATGTCCACTCTGTCCCGCAGGAACTGGAAGATCCGCTGGTTCGTCCTCCGAGACTCTAAACTCACGTATTTCGAGAACGACAGTGAGGAGAAACTGAAGGGAACCATTGACATCAGAGCTGCCAAGTAAGACCTCAGTGCCCAGATGTTTGGTTCACTGTAAAGGACAATGCATAGCTGCTGCAACTGGCTGTCTGCCTCATGTTTACAAGCAAAAGACCAATTGATGGAATCCAGGCTTACTGTTTTAATGTTCATCGACTGATGATCTGTGGTGTTTCCCATAGGGAGATTGTGGACAACCATGAGAAGGAGAATGCACTGAATATTGTGACCGAGGACAGGACTTACCAGATCTATGCAGAATCTCCTGAGGATGCAAGGTACATTTAAAATGTATATTTATTTTATTCCAATGTGCCTGATCAATAGAGTTTATTCAATGTGTGTAACTTGCATATACAGTACATCTGTTGCGCCCCCTTGTGGTGTATTATAACTTATTTCATATTGTTGACTAATACCTGTCATGATTGTGTTGCAGTGGCTGGTTCAATGTGCTGAGCCGTGTCCACAGTGCCACTCCAGAACAGCTTCTGCAGATGCAGCATGAACAGGCCAACCCCAAGAACGCAGTCGTGAGTGTTCACACTAATCAAACTCCGTTAGCAAACGTCTGGAATCACTTCCAGCACCTGTATGTGATGTAAAGGTGACATGTACATTATATTTTTATGTGATGTTTCATCCTCAGGGAACACTGGATGTTGGGCTTATTGACTCTGTATGTGCCTCCGACAGTCCAGACAGGTAATGCATGTTATCAAGAGAGTTCAGCTTAACATTATTCCAGAAACATAATATTTTCTGTATCATCTGTACTGTATATATTTAACTTGCTCATTTTGAATTGAATTGATCATTTTAGAACATTTCCTTTTAAATGTTATTTTTGAAATAGAATTCATGGTATAATCATTCCATCATTCATGGTCTGTGCTGTACTCATAAGATTTCTTTTCCTCAGGCCAAACTCATTTGTTATAATCACTGCTAATCGTGTGATCCATTGCAACACTGACACACCTGAGGAAATGCACCACTGGATCGGCCTTCTGCAGAAGCCTAAAGGAGACTCGAGAATAGACGGCCAGGAGTTCATAGTGAGAGGTGAGTCAGACTGGTCTGTACAGGATACAGAGATTTACCAGCACTGTACTTGCTACATCCTTGAGTATCATTCATGTCCTTCATTCACTATCACTGTCTTTCTGCCATTCAAATTCAGATTTGCCATTACAGAATCAATTACATTTTAGAATATATTAAAATAAAAAGCTGTTATTTTAAATAATATAAGTACAATCTTTCACAACATTACTGTTTATACTGTATTTTTGAGCAAATAAATGTAGCTTGCAAAAACAAAAACCATGCCAACCCCAGATGTTTGAATGTACTGTACATTTCTGTAAAACATTATTTAACCAATGAATCACTGGTGCCAACTGTTGCTGTTCCCTTATTGGTATACTAGCAAATATACATGTTTAAATTGCATTTTGTCTGTAGATATCTGTAGACCTGTAGATTTTAGTTGTTATATTATTAAATACCTATTATAAAACGGATAGTTCCGGTCCTTGATTCTGATTGGTTGAGCCAAGTTCGAAGCTGTTGTAAATTACTCTACAAACATACACCTTTGTTTACTTTGTGTGCTGCTCGGCAACCACTTTGTTGGAACCACAACCGTTTCTGAGGAACTACTTGTTTCAGAAGAATAATGTTTTTATCAATATCATTGCACTTTACTTGCTCTGTTTTATTTAGTGAAACCTTACTACATATATGGAATAACCGTTTTATAAAAGCAATAAGCCCTGTGAAGCCGTGGTTTACAGTGAATTTATAACAGCTAAGGAGGTTTTAACCACGCCCCTTAGCTGTTATAAATTCACTGTAAACCACGGCGTCTTGGGGCTTATTGCTTTAATAATATTAATGCAACACATCCCTTTTTTAGGTGATGAACTAATCTATGACTATTATTTGAATCATCATTCTTTAAATTTTACGGTCACTAAAACTCTTTCAATATTTCTGTCAGGTTGGCTGCATAAAGAGATGAAGTCCAGTGGGAAGAGCACATCTCTCTATTTATTCTTAATTCAAATTCATGTTTTAGTTAGCAATAACAACACTGATTCTAAGCACAGAAATGTTTACATTTGGTGCCATTAATATTTTCTGATATCAATCACTTTTTAGGATAAAGGAGTTGTTCCCTGGGACAGAAATAGAGATGTTCGCTGTGTTCATTGGCGAGTCGCTGAAGAAGACAAAAGCGCGGGAGTTTGTGCCTTCGCAAGAGGAGATAATCGCTCTTTTGCACAGACGTGAGATGACGACCACTGTTTACTGCCATGGTGGAGGCTCCTGCAAGATTTCAATCAACTCTCACACTACAGCAGGAGAGGTGAGGGATGCCGACAGACTCTGCACTGCAGAAATATCATACAAAATATTAGAGTACAAGAACCCAGTGTTCTAAGAGAATAATCAGATATATTCAGAACTGCACTCTTGCACCCACAAGTGTAATCATGCTTTTTCGTGCAGTTATAAAACAAACAATGATATAACAAATAATGATTTTGGCTGAATGAAAGTCTACCTGAGCTTTAACAGAGAACAGAAAACTGCAGATGAACAAATCTTGCCTAGATATAGCTCATGTTCCTCTTAATCAGGAATGTGTGGTGTAATACGCTGACGGAGAAGTGTTTTGTTCCTTTTCTTTGTGTAGGTGGTAGAGAAACTGATCCGAGGCTTGGCTATGGAGGACAGCAGGAACATGTTTGCTTTGTTTGAGCATAACAACTTGATCGACCGGGCCGTGGAGAGCAGGGTGATTGTGGCCGATGTGCTGGCCAAGTTCGAGAGGTAAAATTACACCACAAAGCTGCGCCTATTCACTCTCAGAAATTAAACTCTGTTCCTACAAAACGCTGCCAAATGCATGTGTCATCACTTGGTTATTAAAGCTGTAATATTCTAATATAATCTCCAAAGCCTCTAAAACCAATCTGAAATAACACAAAAACGATTGTTTGTTGTGGTGGTTGTTTCTCAGGTTGGCAGGAAGTGAAGTGGAGGAAGACGGCCCATGGAAGCTGTACTTCAAACTGTATTGTTTCTTGGATGTGGAGAGCATGCCCAAGGAAGGAGTGGAGTTTGTCTTCATGTTTGAGCAGGTCAGTAATTTATAGTTTCATTTCTTGCCTCTATTCTGTTCAAGGTGTGCAATACCTGGAGAAACTATCCATAACATTTCCCATTCGGCTCAATGGCAGTTGCTTGACTGATTTAGCTTTTATATTTTTCATTTTAGTTTAAAATATTTATTTCTTTTTTATTTTTATGGTATTTCAGTTTTATTAATTTTAGCAACTTAAACTTACTTATTTCAGTTAGTTTCCAAGATATTTCAAATTAGTTTGTAAGACTAATAATTATATTTTATTTTATTTTATCTTGTTTTAGATTTGTTTTAATTATTGAAACATTTTATTCGTTTTAGTTTTAGCATCAACAGTATTGATTCTGAGCATAGAATATTTTGCATTTGGTGATATTTTCTGATATCAGTCACATCTTAGGATATGGAACAGAAAGTCTCTGTTCATAGGCAAGTTGCTGAAGAAGTGAAATTTATATTTTCACTTCTTGCCTTCATTCTGTTCAAATCACTTTCTATAGTGTTTCAATTTCAAAAATCATATTCTGAATAGTCATCATTGGAGAAAGATACTTGAATTGCGTTGTTACAGCATCTACCAGTAACAATGCTAACTAGCGAACAGTGCTAACTAGCTAAACATTAACCCCTGTAATTCAGTTCTGTTCTATGTATTGCACCTTTGCACTTGATTTTAGTCTATGTAGCTGTGGTTTCTTTTCAAAATTTAGAAGAAGTCAGATGTGAGTCTCCATCTTATTCATCTCTCCAGGCTCATGAAAGTTTAATAAGCGGTCACTTTCCTGCCCACGAGGACACCCTCCAGCACCTGGCTGCTTTACGTCTGCAGTACCTGTATGGGGATGTGTCTCGGGTAAACTGGAGCTTGGACAGCGTCTACCCCACTGGCCGTTTGCGCAGCCGCATACTTCAGTTCACCAAAGTAGGAGGCGCAGCCGGATCAGGACAAACCATGGAAAGGAGAAGGACGAGCTTCCTGGACGGCACGCTGAGGCGAGGGCTGAAGACAGGCACCATGAAGAAGCAGCGCAGCATGCAAGAGGAACAAATGATGGAAATGTGGATCAAGGAAGAGACTTCAGCCACTAGGGCCAATATTATGGAGAAATGGAACCGGCTGCATGGTCTGGATCAGCATCAAGCCATGCTCAAATACATGAACATCATTAAAGAGTGGCCTGGGTATGGATCAACACTGTTTGATGTGGAGGTAAGAACTGAGGATGTGAGTGATTACATTAATTGAAATGGCCAAAAAAGCTCTCTGTGGCCCCATGCATTTTGAATCCAGGATAGTATCTGGATGCTTTTTCGATTGGCTAATCTGACACTTGTTGTGATTCTGTGTGCAGTGTAAAGAAGGTGGTTTCCCTCATGACCTCTGGCTGAGCGTGAGTGCCGAGAACGTGTCTGTGTATAAGCGAGGAGAGGCCAAACCTCTGGAGACTTTCCCCTATGAACACATTGTCTTCTTTGGAGCTCCTCACGCCAGCACGTATAAGATCACCGTTGATGGGAGGGACATGTTCTTTGAGACACCTCAGGTAATCAAATGTCATTTTAAATGGATTGTTCACCCCAAAAATAATATTCTGTCATCATTTACTCACCCTGATGTCGTTCCAAACCCATTAATCTTCGAAAGAATTGAAGAAATTTCTGTCCCCTCATTGAAATCTCATGACATCAAAACTTTGACCTTTTAAAAAGTTTAGAAAGACATTGAAAGCATAATCAGTATGAAGCAAGCAATTTGATCCAAGTCTTCTGAGGAGAGAAGATTGCTTAAAATTAGATTTAATTTAGGCCTTTATTCACATTGAAACACTGATCAATGCATATACATAGAGCACATCAAATATGGTAAACGGAAACTCAAATGTACTACAGCAAGATTTGTTCTCGCATGTCAGGCAAGCTCGCTTGAGCTTCCACAAGAACCAGTGTGGTTTGTTCTCTTGTATAACACAGTGCGGTCGAGCTTCCATTTACCACATTTAATGTGCTGTATGTTTTTGTTTGTACTTGAATTAAACCTTTGATTCGTAAGAACTATTTCACAATTTTGAAGCTTCAAGGTTTTGTTTTCAAGAATAAGTTTTGGAATGACATGAGGTGGAGACATGTTTTGTAAATGACGACAGAATTTTAATTTTTGGGGTGAACTATCCCTTTATACATAATCAACATGCAATTGAATAGAAATGTTTCTTGGTTTGCTTTCTTCAATTTTGTTCACTGTGAATAAACGGTGGCTTTTTTCAGGTTGGAGAGATCACCAAAATAATGAAAGCCTACATCAACATGATAGTTAAGAAACGATGCAGTGTCAGATCAGTGGCCAGCTTTGGGAGCAACTGGATCAGGTGATGAGTGCTGACCAATCAAGACGAGAGCGACTTCCTTCACACTGATGGAAAAATGAATTCAACAGCAGGGATGTGGATTGATGAATATAAGATGATTATACAGGAACCAGTTATAAGACAAACATGTTGTTTTTTTGCGCGTGTGTAGACAACCACCCCTCTAACAACGTATCATAATTGATGTTTAATATACAGTAGAATTTTGGACCAATGAGATTCCACTGTGGGTGGGGCTACCAACAGACTGTCCTGTCAATCATCCAAGCTAAATTTAGCACTCGTTCCTTTATCCCATCACGTCTGGTTAGTACGTGGTGCAGTACTAGTTGACCAGCAAATGTTCATCGCCAATACCTCAAAGTCCTGAATACTTCAACGTGCTCTTTTCTGCTTTTGGCCAACTTCAGTTTCGAACACTCTTTGAAGTGAAAAGATCCAAACACGGTTTTAAATGTTACACACATGACAATGTTTTGTTGAGAGCTTTCAAAGACTAATAGCCTGAGGTGATTGCACACATTGAAGGCCTCAACAGCCATGTTAAAACTTGCCCATTTGCCTTACTCCACACAAGGGCTGGTCTGTGCAGATTTGTGTCATTTAGATGGCTTTCTGTGTTACTGTTTGTCTGTTACTGTTTCTCGGGTTGAGAGAATGAGGAAAAGTTTAGTTTTTTTTACCTGTCTTGCAATTTTTGTCCGTGCATTCTCTTGTGTATTGTGCATGAGGGGCTATTCACACAGAAAGCATTTTTGCATTCCACTGCATTGCTTTTCCATTGATGTATTTCTATATGTAAACATATGCTAGATGTGCCACGTCTTCTGCAGTGTCTCATACATGACACAGCGTTCTGAAATTCTTTTTAAAAACATGCCTCTAGACTTTACGTCTTGCAGTTTTTGATTCCACTGTGCTAAATTTCCATTGTTTTTTCTAAGTAAACATACTAGAGGGAAGTGTTTGGTCCTTAGGGGCCATTCACACAGATCAGGTTTTTGTGTTTAAAAATAAGATGCAAGGCAAAATCATTTTTTTTTTAGAATGCAGTGTCGTGCCAGATGCCTCAAAAGACACAAGATAAATACATCAGTCAAACATGTCTGTCTAGTGCATGTTTACATTAAAAAAAAAAGAAACTGAAATGTGAACGGCCCCATCTGGGTTAAGCTAAGGTACAGTATAAAGACATAAGCAATATCTCAATATTTCAGTGCAGTGTTTTGGTTGTTATAGCAAAAAGATCTGAAAGGAAATTGGTGGAATACCACTGTACTGATATTTGCAGAAAAGCTATGACTGTGCTATTTCACACAGTAGGTCAGTTGTAAATTCTTATTTTCAAGATAAATTGATCCATTTCCGTTTAAATGTCAAACCTTGTTCAGACGGATGTTTGGAATGTGCTTGTGGTTTTTCTTTTTTAAGGAAAGCTGCATACTTGTAACTGAAGGATGATTTTGTGTGCCTAAAAGAGAGTTAATACTTATAGGTGGGCTGGGTATTTATTCAGTGTTTGTGTCATTTTATGGATGGTGATGTTGATGGCATGTTGTGTGCAGACTCCCTACATCAGTGATGTAACACACAGTGATAATATGAATGGAGGATGTCACTGTGGTAGCAGAGACTCGTTTATGTGGTTCCACAACCTCTTTCAAAGTTCTGTTCATTATTGCTCCATTAATAAATCTGGTGAGCTGCTGGTCAGTTTAGCCTCAACATATTCCAGTTTGTGTAGAGGATGAAAATCAAAGATTTTTTGTTTGTTTTTGTAACTGGATTTACAAAATGCTTAATAAATTATTTAAATTCCAGTTGGTGTGGATAGCTTTTCCACAATCTCATGCACATGATATAAAATAAATTACATCTTGCATTAATTTATCTAAGTTCGCTTGTAATAAAAACATTTTTGGAGTTTGTTTCTGTTCATCTGTGTTACAAAATATATAAAGGATATATAATATAAAGACATTGCTGTGGATATTAGTTTTGTTCCCCATTAAGACATAGTGGTCCATTAAAGGCATGTTTCTCTCAGAGATTCGATTCTCCAGTGCAAGATGTGACCACAAAATGTCTTCCCTTCAAATATGATTACTGCACATGTTCATGCTTTATGAGCAACAGCACTCATATCTGTGGACAGTAAATTCTGAAGTCATGTTTTACTCAAATATGCTCTCCTACACAACAAACGTTTATCTGTGGAGCTAATATCAATAAATATAATGAATAAGAATGTTTTTTATATTCAAAAAATAATTTTGTTTCGGAGGCAGTTATTCCATAAAAGATGACAAATATTTATTTAACAAAAATTTGCCATTTAAACAAAAGTTACCAGCTCGGTTTATGTGTTTTCCAAACTTGCATTACTTGTTTTCTTACTTTTAATATAATGATGTTTTAGGCATTAAATAATATGTCTAAATACATTTTAAGGAAGCCAACTTGACGGCATGTTTTATTTGAATGTAGCCTATTATTTTCGCCTGCTATTTACTTTACCCACATTACTGTTTGTCAGGAAAACAACAACTAAATCAGCGCCTCAAACCACCCATAAACCACTATTTCGAAACTGGGAGGATCTTGCAAAAGTCGTCGTTCAGTAACTTCAGTCCTTCTTCCAGCAAACACATGACCAGCCAGGCCTGAAATCAGCAAAGATCCGCTGCGTTTGCCATCATGATCCAAACTCGGACTTTTTTACTTTTTACTTTTGTTTTCTTTGTCTTCTGTTTTGTAATAGTTTTTGGTCAGACGACAATTCCAGAAACAAGTAAGTTTCAGCCATACTGCTGTGTGTGTGTGTGTGTTTACAAGCTTTTTAACCGTAGATATGGTCAAACAATGGCTGTGTCTTTACCTAGTGAACTCTCTACTTAGATAGCATTTTGGACATCAACTCATTTGCATTTCACACAATCGGTTCAGATTCAGAACGCGCTCGTGATGACTAAATGCTGGCTGTGTAGGCAGCTCGCAAGGATTTGAAACGCAGCCAATGTTTTTGCAGTTCTTTTGTCTGGCCAGCAGACATTTATTGAATTAATCGTCCAGCATATCGTCTATTTCTTGGAAATTGTTACGTTTTAATAATAAGTCATGTATATATAACCAAACTGTTGAACGACAATGTTACTTGGAAGTGACTTCTAGCAGTGGTCATATGACTCAGTCGGCTCAGTACAAATCGCTTTAACACTGGACCCCAAGCACTGTTTTACTAGTTGAAATACTTAAAAAAAAAAAAAAATGTTATATGTTGGAAACTGTAAACCGTAACCATGGTCAACTGAGATTTTATTTGCTCCTTGAATGCACTTTTTAAGAGTTTCCTGCGGTTTATTTTGTTTACATCACATGATAGGCTAGAAAACATAAAGGAATATTGTGTTCAGTATAAGAGTTTTATAAGCGAGGTCAGGGATAATATTTAATATAACTGGTGTTATAACAAAAAGATGTTTTATGTTCATCAATGTTGATTTCTGAGTTGATATGGTTCAGATTTCAAATATTGAAGTCAATTTTAGAAATGTACTTGTCTCAAAATGTTTGAGATGTATAATAGAGATATGGTTCAAATCAGTTGTCACTGAGTGATATCAGACTTGTCCCAAAAACTGTGTTCTTTTCACAGACTGCACTATAAAATCCAACACAACTTGTGAAGAATGTCTGATGATTGTTTCGGTAAGATATCATTTGTTATTCACTGTCAACAATTGTGATCATCAGACTTCTAAACCCCCCGCGTTTGTTCCACAGACAGCAATAATTAGTGAAACATAAAATGTGTGTAATATATTTGTTTCTCTTTTTCAGTGTTTGTGGTGCATCTCAAGCCAGAAATGCATTGACTATCCAGTGAAGAGCATTCTGCCCTCTCACAGTGTTTGTCCGCTCTCAGAAGCACGATGGGGAGTATGCTGGAGTAAGACTGACAGTGACATACAACAAGAAACATCTTGCCATCTCTTTACCTTCTTAATGGATGTATCACATGCATTTGTTAAGAAATGAATTGTAAAAGCTAGAAGAGCTTTATAAGTCACATTCATAGTTCATGGTAGCTTTAACTTAATTACATTCTTGATTGTCACTTTATTACCTTTACACTCTTGTAAAATGTGTCAAGGCCAGTTTAACCTTTACATTTATTGCCTGTGAGTTTTGTACAAGAATGATCACCTCTGTTCTGTGTTGTTTGAATCTCAGTGAACTTCCAGACTCTCATCATTACCATCTCTGTGATCGCGGGGGTGATCATCATCGCCATATTTGTCTGCTGCTTCTGCTGCTGTAAATGTGAAAACATTGGGTAAGATGAAAACCAGCACTTGTAATTAGAGTTTGTGATATTACGGTCAGCCATTAATTTGTGCATATTTATCTTCATAACGTATTCTTGTCAGTGAAAATGAAATGTATTGATTTACTGCTATTAATTATTAATAACAAATCACTATAACATTGGAACATGCAAGAAATTATTACATTTAATTTCTCCTGAAAATTCGAAAGGTCTAAAAGGAGTGATGTGCGAATGGAGAGACAAGGCCATCTGAGAAAGTTCCGTCAAGAGGAGCGGTACGATTTGTTTTGAGAAAATTAATTTCTCCGAATTTCATACATTTGATTATTTTGTTAAGAATTGTGGAGATGTCTTGATGCAATAGTGCTCAGTAAGAAAAAAGTTCTTATTTGAATGCAGGAAAGCAGAGATGAGGCAGAGACATGAAGAAATGCGATTGAAATACGGTAAGATTTCCCTTTCATCAGAAATGAGATCAAATAAATTGTATTATCTTTAAGTTTCAGAGTTTTATCATTGCTCACTCTGTTTTAGGTTTGAAAAAGGATAACCAGTACTCCAGATTTGAGAACAGCTAAGAAACTTGTGATGATGCTCCACTGTTGTCTTTTCTTTTACCTCACACCTATTGTAAAAATGAACACATTTCCCTGCACAGCCAGCACTCCATTTTTCTTTGAGTTTGAAAGACACTGAATATACCAGTTAGCAGCTGCCCACACAAACACACATTGCCTATGTCTTGAAATTTCATTAACTCACACCTGGATTTTTTCGATGAGTCTTCAAGCAAACCACAATATGAAGCCTTGTAAATATAGTACATGGATGACATTTGCAAATCCAAATAAGCGTCAACCAAATTAAGCAAGACATGTTGATATTTGAGTCTGCTTTGGACTTTTGGTTGGCAGTACAATTCATTTTTATTTAGCCTCAGCGAATTTTAGCTGTGTAGCTTTTTACTCAGATTAAACTAGGACTTGTTTTGCATAAATATAGAAGACGTGCTATAATACAGTGCGCTTTATAGATTAATGTCCCACGCATTTCAAATTGACAAATTGATTTGTCTCTGCCTTTGCTAATTTGTTGGCATTTCAATGTAATTTGTCTATGTGCTGCATTTTTTAAATGTTTTTGATCACTAGCTTATTGTATTTACCAAAGGGTTGATTTGTCAGTGCAATTTACAAAAGTCAAATAAACTGTGAGAAAGATATCAATAAAAGTGAATATTGTACAGCAAACAGAAAACAAATATACATTATTAAAATGTAAAAAATGTTTTAAATAGATTTGACCTAAATCATATTGCTAGTAATTTTATGATGCATTAAACATCAAAAGTACAAATTTTTCATGTTTTTTGTAGCGATGTCAGTTAACTTATTATTTATTTTAATTAAAATTTTTATATAAAGGTAATTTATATATAACTACATTTTTAAATGTATATCATGTTTTTGTTTTTATACATGAGACCCCAAAGAAGTACATTACATTTACATTTAGTCATTTAGCAGATGCTTTTATCCAAAGCGACTTACAAATGATGACAACAGAAGCAATCAAAACCAACAAAAGAGCAACAATATGCAAGTGCTATAACTAGTGTCAGTTAGCCTAATGCAGTACACATAGCACTTTTTTAATACACACACACACACACACACACACACACACACATGTATGTATGTATATACATATATATATAAAACACAAAGAAAACAAGTAGAATAGAAAAAGAATAGGGAAAGCTGGTGTTACAGGCCTTTTTTTAAAAGAAAAAAATCAGTTAGAAAATGAACAGAGAGTGCAAGTGTTGGAGGATCAAGTCAACAAATAGATCAAATAGAATTAGAATAGAGTGCTAGAGTTAGTGGGCCAAATAAAGATGGAAGAGATGTGTTTTTAGTCGTGTCTAATGTAATATTTTTTCATTAAGCAAAAGTAACACATTATCATGTTGAAACTATGTTCCTAATTAAAAGTAATTTGTAGCCTCAGACCCTAACCAGAACAGGAGGATTGGTCACGTGGTTTCATACTGTCCAATAAAATGGACGAGTTGATTTTGCGCGTTCTGGGGCTAACAGCGCCCTGCTGGGAATCACGTGGCTTTGCCCGGGCCAATCAAACGTGCGAATCCAGTCTGCGCTTTCTTGCTGAGCGCGGGGAGGACAGCACTCGTGTCACCGTCACAGCCACATTCACCGGGAGAATCCTACATTTCTACAAAAATGTCAGACGAGAAGCCAAAGGTACATGCATTTCTCTGTGCGCCGAGCTCCAGCAGCACGGAGGGGTGTGTTTTGATGTGGTTCTAATGCGTGAATGTAGATGGTCGGGATCCTGCACATTATATGTGGGGAAACAAAGAGGTTTGCAACAAAGATTTTGCGCATTTTCCGCATATGGCCATGTATCTCAGCCATCCATCCAACTACATGGAGAATCATTGCATCTCTTGTCGCTAACAATCAAATCGGCAGTATTTTGCTTCGATTCAGCACCAGCGAGATGCTCAGATTGGCTTTCTTTTGTGGCGGATAGTTGCTACAACTTTGCGCCAAACGCAGTTGCACCGAAAGCGTCGCACAGTTGTTCACGCAGCCCTTTAGTGTTTGAACAAATGCTGATATAGACTCGAGTCTCCACATTCACAGGGAGAATCCTACATTTCTACAAAAATGTCAGACGAGAAGCCAAAGGTACATGCATTTCTCTGTGCGCCGAGCTCCAGCAGCACGGAGGGGTGTGTTTTGATGTGGTTCTAATGCGTGAATGTAGATGGTCGGGATCCTGCACATTATATGTGGGGAAACAGAGGTTTGCAACAAAGATTTTGCGCATTTTCCGCATATGGCCATGTATCTCAGCCATCCATCCAACTACATGGAGAATCATTGCATCTCTTGTCGCTAACAATCAAATCGGCAGTATTTTGCTTCGATTCAGCACCAGCGAGATGCTCAGATTGGCTTTCTTTTGTGGCGGATAGTTGCTACAACTTTGCGCCAAACGCAGTTGCACCGAAAGCGTCGCACAGTTGTTCACGCAGCCCTTTAGTGTTTGAACAAATGCTGATATAGACTCGAGTCTGGCTGTTTAGCGCGTCGTTCATCTCTTACTCAGTGTCTCAGGAACATCTAACGTTAATGTTTACTACAGGGACTGCATGTAAAGCACAATGTGGGTTTAGCTCAAATCGTGTACCGTGTGTGTGTGTGTGTGTGTGTGTAGAGACCCTCTAGAACAGTGCATGTTCACGATTCATCTTTGTTTAACACCACACACTGCATATTTCATTTCAGGAGGGCGTGAAGACTGAAAATGACCACATCAACTTGAAAGTGGCGGGTCAGGATGGATCTGTGGTCCAGTTCAAAATTAAAAGGCATACCCCCCTCAGCAAACTGATGAAGGCCTACTGCGAAAGACAGGTGAGACTGCAGCGTGAGCTCCAGTGATCCTGAGATCTGCACACATCATGAAGCTTTGCATCAACGTTATGTTGATGTGCAGATCTATAACTTTGATGGGGTTTTTTTCAGGGTTTATCCATAAGGCAAATTAGGTTCAGGTTTGATGGTCAGCCAATCAATGAGACGGACACACCTGCACAGGTTTGTACGCTTATTTTTCAGTTTGTTGGTACAAATGTTAGCAGCTTCTGAAATGTTAGCTGTTTAAAGGAATAGTTCACTGTTTCCTGAATAGTTTGCAGAAAATGTACTTGCCCTCAGGCCTTATCAAAGATGTAGATTGCTTTCTTTATTGGAACAGATTTGGAGAAATTTAGCGTTACAATGAGAGCCCAAACAGCTAGAGTCAAAACATCACAATTCACACTATTTTTAGTAATATTTTTTTAATAAACATGTATGCTGTCTTGCAATGGGTACTGTAAATATTTAATCAGCTCCAAATCTCATTGAGGATGCAGTCTTTGTCCAAAAAAATAAATAAAGTTAAGCAATCCATACAAACAGCTAAAAAAAAAAGCTGCATTTGTCATAGTGTATTTGCAAACCTGGAGCTTGGCGCACATAAACTGTTATAAGGCCTCAGTTTGAAATGTACTCTGTGTATGTTTTTATGTGAATTTTCAGCTGGAAATGGAAGATGAGGACACTATCGATGTATTCCAGCAGCAGACGGGAGGAACCTGCTAAAGATGAAGCACATGTGGATGAAGCTTGTTTATTTGTGCTCATCTTCACTTCCACTGCAGTTCAGGGCTGAAATGGGAAAAGGTTCTAGAAATCAAACCGGTTTAAGTTAATAGCTCTTTTTTTTTTCTCTCTCTCTCTTTAATCATCCAAAGACCT